TTTACTTCTATATATAGAATAGATTCTGCATAAATCTCAAAAAGTCAAAATATCTCAAAAATTCAAAATTAATTTTGGGAACATGTATAATTTGAATACAAATAAATTATATTAACTGATTTTTTTTATATGATTACATTAATTTGCAAACTGCGATAATTGTATTATATTTATTTAATTATTATTATATGATTAAACAATTATTAATTTATTAATTTTTATTATATAATTAAACAATTATTAATTAAAAAATTCATTTAAACAAAACTTTTATAACATATTATTTTTTTTTACTTTTAGAAATTTTTCAATTGTATTCATTAATTTAATATATTTTTCTGAATTTTCTTATTGAAATAAAAATATCTGTATATTTTTTAAACTTTTAAATGTTGTATTAATATCAATAATAATTAGTTTAATACTATTATCGGATTCTTCAATATTTTTATTATTTTTTTATTTAGGTTTTTAAAAATATTAACAAGTTCATTAATAATTTGTTATCTTCTAAAACTTCATAAATGATATTTTCTAAAGTTATAAGATTAAATATAAATAGAATCAAATAGCAAAACTATAATATAAAACTTGACATTAACAATAAAACTATCAATGAAACAACTGTGAAATCAATGGCAAATCAATGGCAAAATCAATGATGAAATCAACAGCAAAACAACAGAGAGCTGAAAATAAAAATTATTAATAAGGTTATAAAATTAAGTATAAATAAGACAAACATGAAAACAAAACCATGAGATAGAACTTGACATAATGAAATTACCAATGAAGTAACTAAGAAACCAATGGCAAACTAATAGTGAACCAACAGCAAAATTAATGGTGAAATCAATGAGGTGAAATAACAGAAGAGCTGAAATAAAAGTTATGAATAAAAAGTTATAAGATTAAGTATAAATAAGACAACTGAAAGTAAATATAATGACAATTTCATAAGATAAAACTTAACACTAAAACTACAGGATAGTGTTAATAAAGCAATTGCAAAACTATGAAAATGTTAGTGAAAAAAGATTTGATTATTATTTCATATGACATAAAATTACATAGATGCATTTATAGTTACTAATATTTATATAATTGGAGAATAAAAATTCATTACACCATTATAAAATTAGAAGGATGCACTTAGCAATAATTTCCCAATATGGAATTTGATTAAAGGATACATTTAAGAAAGGGGTGTATTTATAGAGAGTGTATTTAGAGAGAGTTACTGTATTAATTTATATTTATTAATTTTAATTTTATTTCACAAATTAAAGAAAATGGTTTAGAACTTGAATTAACAGATAGTTTAATGAATTATTTATTATTAAATTATATTATTAAAATTTTATTTACTAATTAATTTTATATTTTAAAACAAAGAAACTGAATTAGAAATTGAATTACATGGTAAAAATTAATGGAATTATTAAATTTTATTAATGGAATTATTAAATTTATATTATTAAATTTTATATTAATTAATTAATATTTAAAATTAAAAAAATTAATCAGAAGAATTATAAAGTAAAAATTTATTATATTATAATTTTAATAAGATTATTTAGAATTAAAATTATTTAAAGGTAGATTTTATAAATTGTTATTAAATTGATTTCCATTTTGTGAATTAGGATTATAATTATTATGAATAATTGATTATTAATAAATTCAAAATTATTAAATTCAGTATTTTTTTAAGGGGAATTTTGAAATATGTAATTAAGTACAGGTGATAAAGTGTTGGTTATATATAAAGTACCAGAATTTTGAAGTTGTCCTAAAAAATAAACATATTAATAGAATTTTATAATATTAAAAAATGAAATAAAATACTTTTTAAATAATTAACCATTCATACTATTGATAAGAAGTGATATTAATTTGCATCTTTCTTCATCTCTTCTAGCTTTTTCTTTGGCTTTTTGTTTTCCTATTTCTTTTTTTTATCATCTTTTATTATTTTTCATAAATAAAAGTTTTCAAGGATTTGATACATTTTTGATATCTGTTGCTATTTTAGCAAATTTTTTAGATGTTGGTTTAGATTCATTTTCACTATTTTATCACTTGATTCTATCAAGGTTGATGTATCAGTTGAAGTTACTGGTAATGAACATTTTTTAGTTTGTCTATTAATAGTAATATTAGTATTTTCAGTACTTGCTGAAGAAATAAGAGTAACTGGTTTGAATATAATCCTATTTTCATCCAAAATATCATCAAGTTCAATTCTAAAAGATATAACTACAGGTGCTCCACCACTTTGCCTTTTAGAATCTTTTGTTTTTTATGTAAAATAATTAATTATTTTATTCAATATAAAGAAATTTACAAAGATTAAAAATACCTTATGTAATACTGTTAAATTTTTAAATTTATTATAACTTTGTTCTTGAGAATATGTAATATCATATTGTTTTTTTAAATGGTCACTATACTCTAGCCAAAGTGAATGATTAGGGTTGGTTTGACCACACAACTTGTTTAAGATTACAATTTCTTGTTTGTGCAATATCAAAAAAGTTAAAAGTGCTTTAGAAGAATTGGTATCTCACTTGGTAGTTTGCTTTTTTCCTTTATTTTTACATGAAGAAAATGTAGAAGACTAATTTTCTATATTAAAAGTTTCATTAACAAAAGTATGATTTTCTTCTATTTTTTATAAAAATATTAAAAAAATTAAAAAAAATTATACGAATCTATCTCATGAGATAGATTGATATTTAATTAGCAATAATTCAATCTGGATTGGATTTTGGATTTAACAATCCAATCCAAAACATGTGAACATGATTTGTGCAACTTCAACCAATCTAATCCAAATCTAATTTGCATATAAACACACTGTCACATCTGAACAGCACACTACAAAATTACACAACAAATCAAGTTCTCAGTCTCAATAATAACTTATACTTCTTTATGTATCACTATACAGTGTAACAACTTAAATAACAACTACAAAATCATGAGTATAATCTGAAAGGTGTGTAAATAAGTAAAGTAGAGGTAATTTTCCCTACATATACTATTGGTATTAGAACAGATTTATAAGAGATAAAACATTTATTTATAATTGAACAGTAAAAGAAAATTTTATTAGAAGTTGGGTAACAAAATATTACAATGGCGTGTTTCTATTCTGTCACTATTTCTAACATTTATTATATAATTATTCTATGTTTATCACTATTTGTAAATGTTACTATAGTTATTTAATTAATAAAGAAAAGATAAAAATAAAAGATTAAAGTGTTATTAATTTCTTTTAAAATGCTGCAAAAAGAAACTCTCTCTTTCCTTCTTTTACTACTGCTACTTTTATATTTCTCTCTCTTTTTTCTTCCTTCCATTATCCCATCATTTGTACTTCATCATTCTCATCATTGTACAACTCCATTATTCTCATCATTGTACAACTCCATCATTCGTATCATTGTACAACTCCATTATTCTCATCATTTGTACTTCATCATTCTCATCATTTGTGTTTCCACACCACATGTTTTTTGCACTGCCATCTTCATGCCATCTTACCAATTCTTCATCATCACCACAACATCCATAGATAAACTAAATTAGTACTACATTAATTAGATTATCTTACTGATCTCACTATCACTTAGATCTTATCTACTATTTATCAAAATCTATCAAGATAAGAAAAAGTCAGATATATAAAAATAAAAAATAGAAAATAAAAAAAAATAAATATATACAAAATACAAAACTATTACATTAAAATATTAAAATACAATTTTGTGTTATTTTTTCTTGACCAATTATACCAGACAGCTTGGGATTCAGGAGGTTTTCACATATAATGATGGTGAAAGCCTTTGTATTTTTTCAACTATATTATTTATAGTTTGATTTGTTTCTGTTATTGTTTAATAAAATACCCATGATATATAATCAAATAAAAATCATGAGCCAAAGTGAAAAAAAGTAATTCATGAATTACACATTGAATTATCAAATTCAGTAGGAAATTTTTGATGCAAATTGGCTTAGCCTATTTGCATATCATCCACAAATATTCCTGTCTACTTGTATATCATCTCAAATCTTCCACATATCATCCACAAATCTTCCTGCCTATTTGTGTCAAAATTTTTTATTTTTCTTCATTCAACCAACCAAACCAGTATTAAACACCAAAAAATAAGATGTCTTAAATTATAGTATGCAATAAAATTAGATCTGGAACAATTATAAGTAATCTTGTAATACATTCATCAAAATTTTTGCTGGCCATAAATATTCTATTAAAATTACTAAAATATTGTAAAAATCATAAATAATTACACCAGCATCTATACTATATATGTTACCTAAATTATTTTTTGTATAATAAAATAATTTGGAACTTGAGATTTAAGAATTATAAAATTTAATAGTAATTTGGAATTTGGGATTTTGAATTTGAATTTGAATGGCATGCATAATCTATACCTATATTATATATTATATTATTTTTAAATATATAATAATAAATAATATAAAAATTAACCTGCTCTTCATTAACTAATTTGATTTCTGATATATCTAATAATGTTTTATTCTGATAATTTTGTATCCAATTAAAAATTTCTACAACTGAATCATTCCTTTTGTCAAGAAAAATGCTGCTACTGGTCTTTTGGAAGTTGGTTGATTCTTGGGAGCTAGTCTTTCAGGAGTTGCTCTTTTAAAAATTTGTCTTTCAAGAGTTGGAGGTGAATTCAAATTTGTATTCAAAACTTTCTTTATTTTCAATTTTTCAAAGTTTTGTTAGTTTCCAAAATTTTTTAAAATCTGACATAATATATAGAATTTACTTACTAAATAGTAGTTATTTTTTTCAAGAATATTTTCTTGGTTTCTTAAGAACTTTTGAATGTTCTTAAAATATTAGTTGTATTGAAAAATAATATACTTGAATTCAAAAGTATTAATGCAGAAAATAATAATAATTTGATTATTTTTAAAGAACCATCTACAAAATCTTCATTTAATCCAAAATTATCATCAGGTTCATGGAATAATTCATTATTATGTATTATTATTCAATTGCTGTGCTCAAAACTTGTTATATTGTATGAAGAACTAGAGCCTTTAATTCTTCTTGTTATTTAATAATATTATACACATATTGAATGATCAAAAATTGAAAAAATTGACAAATTTTTGATGCAAATCAGCATAGTCTATGATATTATCATTCATAAATCTCCCTGTGATATAAAAAATAATTTTTAATAAAATATTATTGTATAAATATTTATTAAAATTTTATAATATAAATATTTATAAATATTTATAAAATTTTATTATTATTATATAAATTTACCATTAAATTATTAAATTCCAAAGTACTTATTATATTGTATGAAAAGCTGGAAGCTGCTGATAATATTACAAAACATAATTATTAATAGATATTATTATTTAAATATATAAATAATTATAAAAAATTTATTATTATTTAAATTTACCAATAGTAATGTGAAGAACTAGATGCTTCTAATTCTTCTTGTTCTATTAATAATATATTATAAAATATAATTAATAATTATATATACTCAAAAATTTTATTATTATTTAAATGTACTGTTATTAAATAATCAATGTATAATTTTTCTAGCACTTACAATTCTATATAATATTTTATAATAAAAATTAATAATTTCAAAAAATGATTTTTACATATAATATCAAATACCGTGTGATAATAGGAATCGTGTATGGATTATTATTAGAAATAAATCAGAACCCCCTGGGTTGATATATCGTCCAGTTTTTATTTCTCAAAATTGCAAATTCAGACTCGATTTTTTGTATCTATAAGTTCCATATCAGTTCCTGTAAATGTTATTTCTTTCACATGGCCTTCTATAATCATTTCTCTGGGTCTAAAATAAAAGTAATTAGTCTATTTAAATTAAATATAAAAAATATAAAAAATAGAATAAATATGGAACTTACTTAATTCTTGGAATTTTTAAGGATTCTTTTACTTCAGTAAAGCAGAACATAGTTGTGGTAAGGTTTAATATATCGGAATGTCATATTATTTCTTCCAGCGGCCTCGCTTGGATTAAAAATTGGGTAATTACTGTTTTTGGCTGAAAAATCAAATTTAATTGATTCCGTATATAATTATTATTACTATTATTAATCGAATTATTAATTGGATTATTAATTGATGTGATGGATGGATTATTATTATTAAAGACTCATCATGATCACACGCGGCACAAATATATTGATCATTTGGAGCACGAAAGCGAAGGCATCTGCACTGACTATTATTGTCATAAGGCACAAAGACACACTTTCCTAACATCTTTTTAAGATTAAATTCTTAATCAATCTTGATTTAAATAATATCGGGTTAATACAAGATTATCTGTGATAAAATTTTTTATAACTAATAAAATCTCGATACATCTGAGTTAAATACATCTGTGATAGAATTTTTAGAAGTGTGATTCTATCACCGATGCATCTGAATTAAACCTCATACGCGTGTCTAACTTGGCTTGCCATAGGGTGATCGACGGTTGAAGGATTTCCTATTTGCTTCTTTATCAACTTTAATAATGATTATATTCTTCATTGTCATAAAAAAGTTCAGTAAAATCTTGATTTTTAGAAGTGGAGTGGGTGATATTATTATATTCCCATGGTAGAATTGATTATTTATATTCATACGGCAATCTGTGAAAAAATTATCAAAAAATATTACTTTTCGTCGATTTTTTATTTATTTTTTAAAGTCAAATATTATCTTTATTTAATTATTCTTTTTTTTAAACAATAGAGACTGTTTTTATTTATTAAATATAAATGGTAAAAAACACATTTTATTTTAAATAGGTTAAAAATATACATGATAAATATTTCATATAAGGTATGCTATTTTTTAGTGATTTGAAAAATTTCATATTCTTCTATTGAAAATTTTTCATCCGTTGTCCTAATATGATTTGAATAATATTTATTTTTACACTGGCAAAAATTATCCTTAGAAAAATCGGATTTTTCTGATAACATAATTAGATCTTCATTTCCAAAACATAAGCCAAATTTACTATGATATTTATAATAACAATAAAGTGCATTTGCGGGATATTTTACTCTGCTAAGAATAGAATTTTGAATATTACCATTTTTCAATGAAAATATAAAACTATCCTTCGTTTCTACCCAACTAGAACCACCAAACCAAGAGCCTTTAGCAGGCGGCTTTTTATTCCATTTTAAGGGGTTATATCCTCCTAAAATTTCGTCTGTTCCTTTAACTTTCAAGATTGCTACTGTATTAGCAAACCCATCACACTTATTCCAAAAAATTTCAGGAGAAAATCCATCTTTGCTTCCTCTTAAAACTAATTGAAATTTATATGGCACATTCTGTGAAGAATATGGAGTTGAATTGTTATCGATCCATGATGAAATTTCTAACGCTTGTTCTTCGTCGATTATAGTTGAAAAAGTTTGATTTTCTCCTGAAGGCAATATGAAACGTGCAGTAGATCTTGGTGGTAAAATATTTGAATCAATTGGTCGATTTGGAAGTAAAAGATATTGTATTAAATCATCCCAAAGTTGTTCATCAAGAATTGTCATATAAGGTTTAACTTTGTCCATAACGTCTGCATTTGAAATGTGGAAATAACGAATATGTGGTAAGCATTGTTGTAAGGTGATTTTTAAAGTCAGAAAGTTTTCATTGGACCATTCTTCCAATTTCACGGGTAAATCAGGGGTTTGAGCTATTCCCCACTTGATAACATAATCCCAAATGTCGGATTCTTTCACTTGTAAGTCATCCCGCTTTAAAAGTGACACCAATGCTGATTCTTGAAGAGATTTAAAATCTTCAGATTCAAAAATAATATTTGGGTGCTTTGCAATAATATTATTACAAAAATTTTCCAAATTTTTAAACTCGTTAATTTTAAAAATTGATTGATAAACAAAGGAAAAATGAGCCTTTAACCATGAAGCTTTAGCATCAATAAGGTGACTTTCTATTTCTTTTGAAAGTTCTACGAATTCCAATTCTTTAGCAGCAGTCATTAATT